CACAAGGACTCAGAGTAAAAACTACATTTCCCAGCCTGCCTTGCAGTTAGGTATGGCCATGTGACTAACTTCTGGCCAATGGGATGTAAGCAAAAGTGTCATGTGTCAGACATTGGCCAGTTGGCCAGCCCTTCCTCACTCCTGCTGCTTGGAACGTGGGTATGATGGCTGGAGCTCCAACCCGCAGAAGGAGGATGAGAGTCCCCTCTTGGCTGGCAGAGCTGTGAGCTGGAAGGAATCCCGCAGATTTTGTAGAACAGACTGCCAGGCCAGCCTCAAATGGTCTACCTCAGAACTTTTTTTGTGAGAGAAATGTCTCTTTTAAACTCCATTTATTTGGGGCTTTCTATCCCTGTCCGTGGGAAACTAATCCTAAATGGCACAGAGTAGGTACGCCTGACCTGGCAATCCCTCCAGTAAGAGATGAGTATAAAGAAATGGCAGAACAAGTAGGCAACACTGTCTTCCGTCTCAGGTGAGGGCTCCACCCACTGGGTCCACCCCAGGGAGGGTAGCAACTTCCCTGCTCGTGGCTCACTCAGAGAACAGCTTACAGACACAGCACTGTTGTTCTGAAGTCGAGGTGGGTCTTGTGGATATGAACGACAGAAAAGGAGACCAGTATTTTATGGGTGTAAAGGTTGGGGTCCTGGCCCAGCAGGTGTGGCCGAGGGCGGGGTCTCAAGCTTCCACAAGTCCTCCGCTGCATCAGCTGCAGGATTCTAGGGAGGCTGTTTGCTCACAGTCCCCTCTGGCTGCCCTCATAAGGCAACTAAACGTCGCAGGACACCACCGCCACTGCCACCAAGAGGGATCCGGGTCCCAGGCCTGCGGTCGTGCTGAGATTGGAGAAGGACTGTTGTCAGCCTTGAGCTGATAAAGATGGGTGTGGCACCCCAACTTTCCACATGCTTGTCCTTGGTTCCTCTCTCTATCCCTCCTCCCTCCTTTTATTCCACATACAATTCAGAGCAAATCCTCTAGGTCCCACCTTCAAAATATACCCAGACGGCTAATAGCTTTGAACGCTCCTCTGTTATCATGCTAATTCAAGCACACATTGTCTCTCCCAGGTCTCTGCATCTGCCATGGCCACCTGGACGACCTTGTGTAGGACAGATCCTGTCTCTCCCCTGCTCAGAATCCTCTGGTATCCTTTTATCTCATTCAGAGTAGAAGACACAGCCCTTACGATGACCTCTAGACCCCAGTGTCCTTTCCTGCTCCCCCCACCCTCCTCCTCACAGACGTGATGTCTAGCTTACTTGCTCTCTCTTGCTCCAGCTGCTCTGACCTCCTGTGGTCCATCAAGCCTACCAGGTGGGCTTCCGCCTCAGGGCCTTTGCACTCACTGCTCTCTGTGTGAACCTTTCTTCCTACAGATGAAGGGTGTTCAACACATCCCCTCCTAACCCTTCCGAAAACTTCATCTTGAAGACACGTTGTTTATAATGGAACGCCCTGCAACCGCCCTCAGGCCTCATACTCTGTGTGCCGTTCCTGTTCTGTTTTTCTCCATCTAACACTTCGTCACTGTCTAGGATGCTATATATTTTGCTTGTTTATTCCGTTGGTGGTCTTTCTCCTTGCTCTGTTCCCATGTAGGTCAGGGCTCAGTGCTTTAGCTCCTCCCCGCTGAGTGAGCATTGGACAGACAGGCAGGGTTTGGTTTTGTGGCTGTTTGTTTTCCTTTGCTTTTTCAAAAGGAGGAAGAACATACTTTAAAAGGTAAGTATTCTACAGCAAGGTGATATGGGAAACTGAGGCACAAAAGAAATGTAGATAAAACTAGGTGTCCAGGGGCGCCTGTGTGGGTTGAGCCTCTGCCTTCGGCTCAGGTCACTCAGGTCAAGATCTCAGGGTCCTGGGATCGAGCCCCGCATCAGGCTCTTGCTTAGTGGGGGGCCTGCTTTCCACCCCCCACCCCCGCGACTGCCTCTCTGCCTACTTGTGATCTCTATCAAATAAATAACTAAATCTTTAAACAAACAAAACCAACTAGATGTCCATATAACCTGCAGCAACTTGACAAATACTAGAGGCAGCAGAGTGTAGGGCTCTGCCCCGAAGCTCCCGACTTGATCTAAGTGCCTTGCCAGAGGGACAAACAACTTTGGTTTGGGAATAGCCAAGCCTCCTATATCCTGTGAGTCTCCTGTAACACATGAAAGCATTTCCGGAACTTCCCTTATCTTTACTTCCCCCAACCCCGAAGCCTACGGTCAGTTGCTCCTCACAACCCCGGGGCAGCAGCTCTGTCTGTCCCTGGGTCCTGTCCCTGGACTTTAGTTAAAACCACCATTTTGCACCAAAGACGGCTCAAGAATTCTTTCTTGGCTGTGGGCTCCGGATCTCACCACCAATACTCCTCCAGAAACGACATCAAAGGCACCTACAAACACTACCGAGTTGCTGTGCAAAATCCAACGAAAGCAACCACATTTTCTTTTTCCTTGTATTTTCACTGCGGAGAGTCCCAGAATTGCTCAGTTTGCATCTCTTTGAAAAGGAAGCTACCTATTTTTCTTGGCCTTGGGAACGTTTCATCTAGCAATTGGAAAAAGGATTAGCCTGTTAGGCCAGTGGTTTAAGCCCAGGCAGAATAAACATGGTCCTTGGCAGGTAAGTAGCTCCTGAAACAGACTCAGCCAACACCTGCCTCCTTCCTCCCTCCAGGCTCCTGAACAGGAATAAGGCGGTTGACAATCTTCCGTCATTTTTTAGGAGTGGCGAAATTTGATACGGAGACTTTCTTGTGGTTGAATTTAGTTGTTTGAAGTGCCGGACAATTAAAACTTTTTTTTACCCGACTTGCTGAGCGAATTGTATGTGCCAAGCACTGGGCTAGGTCCTGGGTCCATCCATCTCCTCCAAACCTGCTCCGAGAGCAGCAGGTTTTCAAGGGGCGACAACCTCCAGTTAATGAAATGTGTTCAAATACACGTGACCGGGGCACAGACTGTGGCCCAGTTCTAGGACCTTGGGAGACACCAGAGAACAAAACCCAAAGGCCCGGGTAGCTCAAAGCCCCACCTTTAGTGAATGATGGGGAGCTGAGAAAGGCATGCTGAGCTGAAATGAAGTTTAAACTTCACTTAAAACATGCTCCCTGCCCCCAGGGAATTTAAAAATTACCGCAGGAGCTAAGAACGAAATAATAGTGAGTATAACAAGCTGGTTAGAAGGCGGGGGGCTTCCCTGCTGGGAGGGCTGGAAGGGTGGGGGGCATTCACCAGAGGGGTCCTGGAGGAGGGGCCTGCCCACACGGATGGGCAGCTGGGGGCTGCCCAGGTGAGCAAACCCAGAGGGTATGGCATAGCTGGTCACCATGTGTTTTCAGGACACACGTTCTGGGCTCACAAGGACGGTGAACTCACCCATTCTTTCCTAACTCAAAGCTTGCTTTCTTTTTTTTTAAAGAGAGCGAGCACAAGCTGGGGAAGGGCAGAGCGAGAAGGAGAGAGAGAATCTTAAGCAGGCTCCACGCCCTGTGCGGAGCCTGACGCCGGGCTGGATCCCACCACCCTGAGAACATGACCTGAGCCCAAACCAAGAGTCAGACACCTCACCAACGGAGCCACCGAGGCGCCCCTGACTCAAAGCTTTCTTGAGCGACTGTAGGGTGCAAGATCCGTTTCACCAGCCTCATGCGTAAGCACCCCACAAAAAGTCCCTTCCTGATCCTGTGGAAATGTCAGGGTCTGGAGCTGGAGGTCCAGAAGGAATTCTTGAGACTTCTTGGGTGCAAAAAGGTGGTTTTATTACAGCACAGCCACAGGACCTGCGGGCAGGGGATCTTGAGGATCATTGGAACTGGGGGAGGTAAAGACAAAGGGAGGAAGGATTTTCATGATGCTACCGTAGCCCCCAGCCCTGGAAGCTTGGCTGTTCTCGAACCAAGCTGTTTTTCCCTTTTTCCCTCTAGCAAGGCACATTAAGATCGGGAGCTTCCTGGAGGAGGACTCTGCCTGCCTCAAGCACTGGTCAAGGGCTGCGGGTTACAAGGAAGTTCAATTTTTATCTACTTTTCCTTTGAGCCTCTGTTCTCCGCCGAGGGAGTTTGCGTTCTGGAGGGAGAAGCTGCAGAGTTCCACGTGTGCGGAAGCGGTACGATTCCAGATCATTCCAGATCGCAGTAGGAAAACCGCGCAGGACAGGGCCCTAGAGAACAGGGGGCGGGAGAACTCTCCAAAACCCCTGGGCAGCGTGTGAGGGCGGGTAAAGCGCAGAGATGGGCGGCGAGCGGGAACCGCGGCACCGGGCGTCCGGACCGAGCGGGCAGGACTTAGGAAAGGTCGGTGTGGCCGTCACCTCACGAGTGTGATGCGCCCCACCTCTGCGCCCTTGAGTCCCAGCGCCCGAGTGCCCCAGGCCTCTCCTCGGGGGCCCGCCGGCACGCACCGCGGTCTCAGCAGACCCCCAGCAGGATTCGACCCAGCACCGACTCGCCTCGGCGCTTTCTCCAAACGGAACACCAGACCGCACGGCGCGCACTTCGGCAGCGCTCCAGGCCCACTGGAAAAGGGAAGGAGAGGTTTTGCCGGCAGCGCTGTGGCTGACAAAGGCAAGTTTTCGCTCCGAACTTTTCCGCGTCGGGGGAGGAATCGGCACGAGCGGTTGCCTGCACACGGGAGGCCGCGGCCCAGAAGCGCGCGCTCACCGTTCACCCGGCTGGCAGGGCCGCACCGGCGCTCCTCCGGGCGCCGCCGGCGAGGGACCCCACTCCTCCGCGGTGCCGCGGGGCACGTGCGCGAGCTGCCCGAGCGACCCTCCGGCCCGCGCACCACCCGCCCTGCCCGCGGGGCTGAGTTCGCCGTCCCGCGCGGGAGCCAAGGGCAATGCGGGCGCGGGCGAGGTGGGGGCGGGGCGGGACCCGGACGAGGGCAGGGGCATGGGGCGGGGCCAAGGGGGCGGGCCGGGGGGCGGGCCCGGGGCGGGGCCCGGGTGCCCCCGACGGGCGCCGACTGCCGCGCTCTGGACACCCCAGGTGGGCGCTGGGCTGGGTTCTTCTCTCCTGCCCGGGCTGCGAGACCCACTTCCTCTTCCGCGCTCTCAGGCGGCGGAGCCGGAGGGTCCCGGTGGGGCCCCGCAAGTTCCGGCTCCCCGCGAGCCCGGGTCTCGGCGAATCCGGGCTTCCGCGAGTCTGGGTCCTCGAGAGTCCCGGGGTCCGGCGCTCGGGGGGCGGCGACCGGCTGCTCCAGCGGCGCCCGGCGCGCACCGGCCGGACCCGCGCGGGGAGCAGGAGGGGGCTTCCTGCGGGAAGATGAGGAAGCCCGATGGGAAGATCGTGCTTCTGGGGGACATGAACGTGGGCAAGACGTCGCTGCTGCATAGGTACATGGAGCGGCGCTTCCCGGACACGGTCAGCACGGTGGGCGGTGCTTTCTACCTAAAGCAGTGGCGCTCCTACAACATCTCCATCTGGGACACCGCAGGTGAGGGCGGACACCGCTCGGGGGCCCGCCATCCTGGGGCCCCGCGGCGGGAGAGAAGCATTCCCCAAGACCGGGCTGTCCCAGGGCAGGGCCCCTCAGGGCAGGGCAGGACTTCCCCCCAGGGCTGGGGCCCCTTGCACAGGGTCCCGCCTTCGCACTGCCTGTGACCCCATCTCCAGATCGGATCAGGTCCCTAGGCACAGTGGGAGGCCATCCTGGGCCCCTCTCTGTCCCTGCTTGTTCTTTGGTGGGTGGGAAACTTCAGCCTCTCCATGGGTCTTAGGGACATGACAGGTGACACTCCAAAGAGAGAAGCTCCTGGTGTCTGTGTACCCCGTGTATCGGCTTGGCTCCAGAGCCCCTCCAGCCTGCTGACGGGAGCCCCCCCCAGGCTCATGGACTGGATCTCATTTGATACCCCCAGCCAGCTGGAGGGCTGAGCACGGCTAGTGTAATGACCCCTTCTTCACGAAAGAGGAAGTTGAGCCTCAGAGCCTTCCAGGCAGGCTTTCAGGGTTTGGTTAGAGACCAGGAAGCCGAGCGCAGACCTCCGGCTTAGGGGGACCACATCTGCGTTTCCCACTTCACTTGCCACTTGCCTGATCTCGGCTCCCGTCTGTCCCGGGGCTCTGACGCGGTTTTCTGCAGAAGCATTTTTAAGATAGCAATGAATTGTTTTTAGTACATGCAGTTTCTGTGATTTTTCCAAAAGAACACATCACAGGGTCTTGATTCAGGCTTTTGGTTTGTTCACTCTGCAAAAGTGCACTGGTAAGGACAGTCCTATCCGAGGGTTCCTTCCCCAGGACGAGGGAGAGGGCGTTTGAGGTAAATAAAGGCGCTGAATCGCTGGGCGCAGTTTCAGTGCACTTGACTTCCACAGGCCCAGCACTTTCAGAAGTGACGTAAATACCGAAGGTCCCGTCTAGAAAGTTTCGATTGCCAGCCTGGGCATCCACTCTGCTGGGTAGACAAAATTCGAACTAGCTCTCGGTTTACAGTGGAGTTGATGGAGTTCGCGGATGTCCATCTGCCCTGCTCCGTCCTGCTTCCTTTCGTGCGGCCCCTTTTAGTGCGGTGGTTGATGGCTGACTAAATGATCTGGAGTCACGCTGTGAAGACAGCGTCTCCCAGGGACGGGTGTACCCATCCCTGCTCTCTTCTCCAGGCTGCACAGACACGTTCCCAGATGCTTCCCTGAAGCTGACTTTGTAGCGCTAAGCGTTTGGTAGGGATGGAGCACAAGCTCCAGAAGTCACTTCACGTTGAAGTGACTTGGCTGCCTGTTTTGTGCGAGGCTGGCCCTGTCGGTCCTTTAGCTGGCCGGCTGGCCTTCGTTGCTGTCCTTGGTTTACAAGGGGAAGATCAGGATTGGTGTTGGGGTCCCCAACTGAGCGGCCCTGTGGCGGCTGCCGTGGGAGGTGGGGTTTCTGGAATGGGAGCTGACCTTTGCTGCCAAGCAGGCTTTCTGGCGTCAAGACTGTGAACTAGCAAAGTAATTTTGGCTGGCCACTTTCTTCAGTGACCAGGATGTGACGCAGCGGGGACCCTGATCACCAGAGGATTTTGTAATACAGCAGATGCTGTGCCTAGACATCTTGTTCAGCCCCGGGGGCGGCGACTCATTTCCTGGCTCCTGCGTTCTTGTTCCTGAAATCCTTAGTGTGCGCCGGGTCAGGCTCCTGGGGCGGCGGGGGTGGCCAGGCCTGGTCCCCACACAGTTGACCTGTGTGCACACACACAGGGTGACCGAGGCTTGGCATTGGTGCTGACACAGGCCATCTCTGTGCCTGGCACCCCTGCCACTGTGGGTGGGCTTTTTCTGTCTTCCTCTTGAACGTCCTTCCCATCCCACAGACATTGCGTCTCAAGCTGTGTTCATTTGATTTTTCATAACCAAGGTGGAGGGTAAGGACCCGCTGGAGGGTGGTTTTAGTGCTGGCCCTGGTCGTGGGAGGTGGGTGAGGGGGGTACTGGGAGGGTGTGCGCGGTGGCAGACTGTTTTGTAGTAGAGGTGAGAGGAGGGTTGGAGAGACTTACTCTCGTCCTGCCGGAAGCTGGAGCGGGGAGGAGAGGTTTGCTGGGCTGGTTAATGGATACCTGATTCAGGGACACAAGAGGCCTTCCGAAGTGGGCAAGGTCACGTCCACGTCCGGGATGGGGCCGTGGAGGCTGGCAGAAGCTCAGGGGTTCAGACTTTAGTCTCTCCAGGTGCTGTGTGTTCCTCTCGTGGTGCCTTGCTCTGACCTTCGCCTAGTTGGCAGACAGGTGTGGGGCAACCACCCTGAGGGTTTGATACGTTCTGGAAGCCAAAGGTCCTTGCCCGGGGATGAGATGGGCCCCCAGCGGAATCCGCTACCGCTGTCTTGGCCAGAACAGTCTGGATAGATGGTCCCACCATTGGGTGAAGTCAGCCCAGCCCCTCCTCCACGCCCGGGGCGGCAGCTTCGTGGGTTTTTGACTGGGGGGGGGGGCGGGGAGGGGCAGCAAGGAAGGCAGTGGCGTCATTTCACCCCAGATCATCCAGAGAAACTCCGTCCCTGGAGCCCTGCAGGCTCGCCGCCCCCTCCTTTCCTCGTCCCTCAGGCTGCAGCCTCCGGGGGCGGGAGAGGCTCAGTGTTGCTCCCCCAGGATCTGTCCCGCGAGGACCGGTTTGGACCACTCAGTCCCCTTTCCTCCAGCCTCCGGAAACACGTTCCCTGTTCCCATCTGAGCTCACGGTGGCAGCACCTTAATACCCGTGTTTCTACCTGAAGTCTCCATGCCGGGTTGGTGTCCCCTAAAGACAATACGGGTTTCTCTCCCCCGCTCCCTTCTTCCTCCTCCGCCCTCGCTGGCGGGGCTGTTAGAGTCCGTACTTCTGACGGCCTGCGCACGGCCAGCCAGGCTCTTTCCATCACGTGTCTTGTGTGCTTCCTGCCTCTTTCTGTTGCCCAGTTCCAGAGCCACGTCCAGTGTTGTCACAGCAGTCGCCGCTCCCAGGACGGAAATCTGTTTCAGTAGCAAACTTAGTGGCTTAAAAAGCTCAGGTCGGAAGTCCTAAATGGGTCTGACCGGGCTAAAACTGAGGTGTCAGCCGTCTGCTCTCCCTTCTGGAGGGCCCGGGGGAGCCTGTTTTGGCATCTTTTCTAGCTCCCTGCTCGCATCCCGTGGCTTCTTCATCCTCCATCCCCAAGGCTGTGGTGTCTGTCATCATGTCTCTCGGACCGCGACTTGTCAAGCCCCCTCCCCAACATTTAGAGGACACCATGATTCCACTGGGTTCCCCTGTTTCTCCTGAAGGTCAGCTGGTGAACAACTTTAATTTGTCTGCGATGTTAGTCCCTCTTGCCCCATAGCATAACCTCTTACAGGCTTCAGGGTTTGGGACGTGTCTGCGGGGTGCCCCTGGGGGTGGCGTGTGCCCTTCTGCCGGCCGCAGCCACTGGCCACGTGTGCGATCCTGTGCGTGTTGTGTGTCTGCACGTCATTTTCCTCCTCCATGAGATGGCGCGGTTGCTGCCGCCACCCGGAGCGCTGCCAGCAGTCGGTGGCTGAACTTGGCCGGTGCTTGAACTGTAGTACCTGGAAGGAAGGGCTCTGTGGGTGTTTGAGGAAGAACCAACCATCTCCCAGCTCTGGGTGCTTCAGACCACGACTGTCACAGTAGAACAAGAGAGGCTTGTCATAGAAGGACAAGAGAGGCTTGAGCGGGTCCCCCGTAAGTAATTCTGCAGTAAATGGAGAGATCAGAGAGAGGGGGAAATTCAGAGCTGTTGGTGTAATGACTGCATGTTGAGATGTGTTCTTTCCATCCCTAATTGGTTAATGATTTTTATCATGAATGGGTGTTGAGTTTTGTCACATGCTTTTGCCACATCTACGGAGACGATGATTCTTTTCTTTCACTCTGTTCATGGGATATGTCACATTGATTTGAGGATGTCAAACCATCCTTGCATCTCAGAGGTGACAGTTGGTTTAAGGTCTTTCTCTTAGATAACTTTGGTGCAACCCAGGAGAAGATGCTACAGGTCTGGGTATGACATTGTGGTGCCCGTGAAGTTATCCGAGAGGTCTTGGGCCCCGTGGCAGAGCCGAGGGCCTCTGCCCTGTGAGCGTCGGAAGGATGGGGGGGCACACCCACTGGTGAAGAAACCAGAGGAGACGGCCCATCTGTGAGGACCGGGAGCTCCCATCGTCCCCCTTCCCCGGTGTGTAGATGCCTCAGCCCCCAGCTCACCCTGGAGGCAGCTGCTCCTGGATCCAGGGAGTGACAGGGAAAGGTTGGTGTTGTGATGAGAAGGAGAGTAGCTCTCTTTGACGGGGACCCCATGGTTGCTGATCGCTGACCCTTTGGCCTGGCCTGGGAGGACTGTGTAGTTCTGGGAGCCCCGAGAGCGTGGTGCCGAAGTGGGTGGACAGCTTGTGCAAGCTGGAGCTGAGGTTGGAGGACTCAGATCTCCCTTGACTCTGATGATGTTCGCGCGGCTGCCGATTGGCTCCGGAGGCCCGAACCTGGTGGCCCAGAGCCCAGCGGTTGGTGTTTGTGTGACGGGAGAGCATGTGGCAGACGACATCCCTTCCTGGAGGTCAGCAGACTGAGCTGTCGGCATAGATGAGGTCTTACCGGCCCACAGCCAGGCTGATGCACTTGTGGACCGGCGTTCAGTCCTTAGGGAACCCCGGTCACTTAAAAGCAGCGGTGGTGGGGGGTTGTGTGGTCCACTCTGAACTGGACTGGGGTGAGGGTTGGGCTTGGACTTAAGAGCATATGAGCCCCCACTAAAAACAGTTCTTGGAAAAACATCTCAGTTTACCTCTGAGATATGGACGCCAAGGCTGCAGAGCCCGCGTGGTGGGTGAGCCCGTGTCTTCCGGGGCGGGTCCCCATCTGTCCCGTTACCGCAGGCTTCAAGGGCTCACCCTCTGGGTGCAGGGCCACGTTTGCAGAATTCCTCTGCTCTCCTGATCGGAAACGGTGGCCAGAATATGAATGCGGGTGGTAAGACAGGTGGAAG